TCGAGTACGACGTTTCGCCAGTAATTACAACCTGCCTCATCAGGCGACAGGCAGAGCTGCGTCGGGTGGTGGTGGGTTTAACGACACATTGATATTTATGCGATCTAACCCAAAACACCTGTTTTGGATAATCTTGGTTAGAAAAGCCTTCGTGTTAAACTGACTAACATCTATCGGGAAGTATTACTCAATTATTGGTTGTCCGATGCTCTTGTAATTCTAAACGATTCTGCTGAAGTTTAGTAATTGGTTGCATTGCGAGCAAAATAGTGGTGGGCTGCAGGGTTGCTTATTATTAAAATGTAAATTTGTTGCTTTTAATTTTAAACGTGGCAGAGAATGAGTCAACACTGTTAAAATGAGGCATTTGTCAAACGTGTGCTTAACAGGTGTCAGCGTCAGTATAAATAGCCTTCAGTGGATTTGAGGATTTATCTTCAAACACAAAACTACGAGAGGTTCAAGCCGACTGTGACATGCGGCAGACTAATAATGCTAGCCGTGTTTGCTCTGCCTTGCATTGCATTTTAAAACAAAGGCGTTCCTCAAACATCAACAACCAGAGAGAGAGAAAACACAGAAAAGCACCCTTACTCTGATCAGGTTGCTGTTATTACCAAGATATAAATTGTCTGCTTTTGTTATTTCTATTCTCCACTCCTATGCTAATGAGCATATTGAGTTATTCTTTATCATATTAGGGATGTCGTGGTGGCGATATATTAACTACCTCGTCTGGTATACCAGAGGTCGTGGGTTCGATCCCGATCTTGACGCCTGTATATTTGGAGTTTGCATGTTCTCCCCGTGATCGCGTGGATTTTTCTCCAGGTTCTCCGGGTTTTTCCTCCATATTTAGAAGCATGCGTTTAGAGCATTTGGTTGCTATAAATTTCCACACGATAAGCCACTTCGTTGGGTTATCATTTGTGGCCAGGTCGCTTCTGAAAAAAAAATAGCTACGTATCTCAGTGTGCCTTACCTGGTAAAATAAAAATTAACCCGTAAAAACAAAGTTTTTCACTATAAATCCTAGAGTCCTCTCGTCCTCTGGCTTGAGATGGCTGCCACCTATGGGTCAGGTGATTGCCTGCCACCATTAAGCAATTGGTAATTAAATATAATTTATTTTTTTCTAAAAGTGTAAAATTTTGGAATTTCTTTTTTACGAAAATAAATTGTCACGCACAACGAGTCTGTGTGCAAAATGTCAGCTCGATTGGATCACGGGAAGTGGGTTTAAAAACGACCGAAAGATTTGCACGCAAGCAAGTGAACTTAATATAAAGGATTTAAAAAGACGTGTGTTTTTAGTGTAAACAAAAACACGTTTTACTGGGTTAATTCCTGCCTGTATTCCTGCCCGGCTGGCTGGCGCACTGCCAGAACGTACGTGCGCGGCGGTGACGTCATCGTGCACATCTGCGTGATGACGTCACCCGAATCCCTGTACATCGAGCTGGGTTCGTGCGTTGTGCGGCTGGCTGAGACGGGGGGGGGGATGGAGGGGGGGGGTCCTGACCTTTAACGTCTGTCAGTTTACCGACATTGATTCAAGGCAAGCCCGAATCTGCTGATGAGACATTATATGTCGAAACCGGTCCAGAGTTTTGCTCGCACTGAATTGATGTTCCTGAAATAATTAATTCCCAGCAGGGAAAGTGTGGCGCTGATGGGTTGCATAAAGAATGCTTGCATTTTTTAGATGGATAGATTTTTGGCGGAGATATATTAGCTGTTTATCTATTGTGTTATCAAGATGATGTTCTTAGAAGTCCCAAATGTACACGATCAAAGCAATCTTGATTTGAAGCTTTCGTGACTGCAGGAATCCATACTCTTTGGTTCTCTCGGTAAAGTCACGTGGGTATAAAAAGAATAATAGATCACGACGTTTCGATCGCAACAGAAGCAACCGTCATCAGGTGTGAAACAAACACAGCAGGAGGACTGCTGACGTTTCATACCTGATCATGGTTGCTTGTGTTGCGATCGAAACGTCGTTATTTTTATACGTATGTGACCTATTATCAAAGCACTTTCGTACGCATGTTTTTTTTACCACAAGTGTGTGGCAAAATATTATAATAGGTGTCTAATTGGTATTTGAACGTCTGAACACTTGTATTATTGCCGGAAAGTGTAAAGCCTATTCTTCAGTCATCATTTTTTGTCAAGAAAAGTTTAGAGCGTTTCAGTCAGTTTTAACATTTTCCACAGTTCTCAACGTAAATATTTGTTATGCTTTCCAACTGCAATAATGCATTAGGCGTGTCTGTCTATCTGCCTATCGCTAAAGTGAGGTCATGATAACTATTGTAACGATGATCCAGTGTGATACAAACGTTAGTTTAAAGTTGTGTTCACATTAGGGACCTACCCGTGAGAAAAATGGCTTTAAAAAAATCAAGGATTTGACAAAATCTCGGGGACACAAATCACGTAAAAATTACGATTTGCAAACACACATAATCCATCCATATACATGACTTGTGTTCCTTTTTTCCTTAATAGAGAAGGTTGTGATGGTGGTGGTGGTGTTTTAGACTATTCTGTCTCGTTGAAGTCAACATGGAACACGCGCCTCGGACAGTGGGAATCGGAAGCGTGTCTGCGTACTTTGCCTGCCACTGATTTCACAGGTTCACAATGCCGTTCTGTGCTGTCCCCTTTCTCATTATAGCGTCCATTTCCGTGCCGAGTGTTCCACGTGTCTGCCATCCAGAGTGTCCGCTGCATGTTCATCCATGGCCAGACGCTGACCGCCGTGAAGAACGGTACATTTCATTCCACGCGGTGAGATACAAAGCGTTTAATCTGCGTCTGCTCGTGAACATCCCACCCTGTGTACGCTCCTGACTCAACGTGTTTCCTCGTTTTTGTCACACGGAATGCCTTCCCTTTCTGCTTTGCGCGTCCAATTCTTTAAAATAATTCAGTATCCATCATCTCACGCCAGTCAAGTTCAAGTTCAAGTTCATTTATTAGGTATAGCCCTGTGAGCCATTCAGCTCTTGAATCGGGTGCAACCGCAACAAACAAAAAACAAAAACATGAACAAGAAACATCCTGAAGTGAATATGTGACTAAGTCGATCGATGAGTGCGGAGGAAGCCAAGACCGCATCGGATATCACCTGCCACTGTTGTTAGTCGTGGCTGGGAATTGAACTCAGGTGTTCAGGTTCGTAGAGCAGTGTGCTAACCGCTGCGCCACTGATCCTTTCCCCTTTGCCAACCTGCACTGCGTGGTGAAATACGGTCAGAAAATCCGATTTGACCGATACAAGAAGGGATGGCCTTCATCTAGCAGCGGATTGACAAAAAGCTGTAAATTATATGCTACTATTATGTTATTACATTATTTAGATTACAACTTGAAATGATTCCCAAAGTTTCTACATTTTAAAATAGGTGTTTTATTAGCGACTGAATTTTTAAAGAAATCGTTCACAGTTGCCTTGTTAATATCATTCAAATTTATATATATATGTGTGTTTTAATTAACCTTCAAATCGGGCACCTTGGTGGCGAGGGATGTTTCTCCGGGTCCTTCGGTTTTCCCCTCCACGTTTATAATCAACACGCGTTTAGAGTATTTGGCTGCTTATACATTTCCACGTGATAAGCCACTTCGTTGAGTTGCTATTATTATTATTTGTGATCACCAGGTTCGCTTCTGAAAAAGAGCAATACAGCTCAGTGGGCCTTACCTGGTAAAATAACAAAAACATTGTTTAGCTTGGTTAAATTCCTTCAGCAATAAACAACTTGGGTCTGCTATCTTTACTCCTGAACCCACTGTCCTCGCTCTTCCTCCTGCATAAATGCAAACGGGTATTTATTCAAAACGCTAGAGCTGATAAAGAATGCCCATATTTCATGAAGGGACAGATGCAGACAGAATTCTGGAACCTGGTCGGACTGTTCCCTCCTTTTTGCCGAAATTTTAAATTAATTCTAGATTTGAAGCTTTCGTGACTCCAAGGATTCATATTCTTAGGTTTTTTCGGTAAAGTCACGTAGGTAAAAAAAAATTTAAAATTAATAAAAGTAAAATAAAAATAAAAATCACGACGTTTCGGAGGCAACACAAACTTCCGTCTTCAGGTGGAACCGTCACAGCACGATAGCTGTATCAAGTAAGAGAAATTCCAAGAAAACAGTCCTTGCATATATACTGGTTGAGGATGGGAGGAGCCAAGGCTAATTTCAGCAACAGATTGGGGAAACCTACCATTGGGTTGCAAGCCATGTCTGCGGCGCCAATATATCTGAGATTTATTTGGAAATCATAACAACTCGAAAAATTTCCGTTCTAGATATCTGCCCTCGTCATGCCGACAACAGCACGGCTGTTAAAACTGCGACGGAATTGCACCAGTGTTTTTTTTAAGCAATTGCCTGTGACGATCGCAAGCCTTCAAACAAATTCAGGTGCCGTGTATTTCCCTTTAGTTTTCACGGTGTGATTTTCAATTAATTCCAACCACAGGATATTCAACAGCAACAGACGCAGTTGCATATAATTTGAATTCATACATGCCGGATTTTTTCTTCTTTTATTTCTACAATCAAATGGACGAACGCAAGCTCGTGTTCAAGCACAAGTTTTGCAACGGCATTGGCATCTGCCTCATTTTGTCTTCTCATTGCACTTCGCAGGAAACCCTGTAAGTGTCACTTGCGATGTTTTTTTTCATCAACAATTTTTTGATCCATCACTGAAACTGCCATGGTAAGTAAGTTCAGGCTTGTCGCGTGAAAATTGAAAAAGCTTTGACGGAGACCAGTCGGCGAGGCATTTGCGCGAGGAATACAAAGCTCTGCCGTGTCGGCAGACAGGATGCAAAGTATCGTGCAGATGAGCAGAGACGAGTGGATTTGTGAATTTTCCAGGGAGCAGTCTTCGCCGAACCCGAATGCTTTTTCCTGATGGCCTCCGTGTGTCTGAGACATGCATTAACAATGACAATCCTGTGCCTATTGTTTCAATTGCAGGTTATCCAGTCAATGTTACCTGCAACATATTTATCAACAGTTTTGGCTCAATAGCAGAGACTACAATGGTGAGTGACGCGAACATTGAAACCATCGTTTTACACATTAATTTACCCATCGTCAAAATCTGAAAATCTTTTCGAATGTCGTTCCTATGATTTGTTTTTTAGCCACGCATGAAAACATTTTTTTTTCAAGAGCCCTGATACTTGTGATAATATACATAACTGACTCACCATCAAGTTTGCCTGCCTTGCTTTAGACCTTCGCATGCAAGGAAATCATCGTAATTATATATACAAATGGTCTTGGAAGGCCTGTGTGGAGTATGGGTTTTAGTGTATTGCATTCGCAAATTAAATATAACATGTTTTAAGTTTTAACTGTAAACTTGCGTGACTGCAGGAATTCATATTCTTTGGTTATTTCGGTAATGTCACGTAGATAGAAAAATAAGAATAACATTTAAGTGAACTTTTTTTTTAAACCACTAATGCACACTGTAGCCTGGTTATTAAGTTTGGTGAGTGTACTGACAGTCTATAATGTAGACTGTAGCAATGGTTATTAATCTGGGTAAGTTTACTGGCAGTCTATAATGTAGACTGTTGCCTGGTTCTTAACCTCGGGGAGCTTACTGGCAGTCTATAATGGAGACTGTAGCCTGGTTTTTAAGCTGGTGAGTGTACTGGCAGTCTATAATGTAGACTGTAGCCTGGTTTTTAAGCTGGTGAGCGTCTACATCATAGACTGCCAGTACACTCACCGAGGTTAAGAACCAGGCTACAGTCGACATTAGTGTTTTTTTTTTTAACTCACATTAATTGTATTGTTATTTTTCTATCTACGTGACTTTACCGAAAGAACCAAAGAATATTACATGTTTTGTTATAATCACTTATGACACTGCAAACGCAATTAATTGGCATTTGTTTGACTTATGACATTGATGGCATTTTAATTGCAAATCATCAGCAATTACCTGGCTCCCAAATTATTCAATGCCTCACATAAAAAAAATATCTAAGTTTATTTTAATTTTAATTATCCAATGGTGGAAGCTCCATGTCATTTGCGGGCAACAAGACATAATTCTTCCCATCCAGATTCATGACAATTTAAAGATGTTTCTCAATGGAGAGAGATTGTGCTTTGCTTGCTTGTCATTCTAACGCCATGCGGTGCAGCAATCACACCTCGTGATGTAACAGTGTTCTTCGCTAATTATCAGAGGGGAGCCACTCCCGCCAAATAAGACGACATCGGTGTGAGAGAGCCGGGTTTGACAACACGATGATGATGGGTAGGGGTGGGGGGGTGTTTTCACATTCGTGTATTGTTGGGGGCCATACGTCACGGGCCGATCTGAAGGCCACCAGGGGTGGTTACCAGTGCGTCTTATAATCAGGAGGATATCATATAATGCTGCTGACGATATCTCGAGATTTTGTATTAAAACAATTTAAGTACATTGCAAACATTTGCATAGTGAAGTTGAAACTGATCATTATAATTATTGAATAATGAATGCTATCTTCATTATGGATACCCTGTATATAATTTGCTATTCCCCAACCCTTTGCTTTGGCTTTGTGTTTAAATGTATTCAAGCATTTTCCCATAACCTCCCTGCCACATGACAATCGAAGGCAGTGAACACTTACATCTTTCATTTCATCCGACCACAGCTCACAAGCGTGCCTTTTGTAATTCACGACTCGACATCATTGGGGCTTTAATATATTTGACCGATTAATGAATCATGGAGAAGGCATCAGATGCTCGTGTATTGGTTTTGGCTAGACGGTCGTGGTAAGGCTCGCAATTCATGTCACGGTTGTTCAATAGCGAGTCTTGAACCGTTTCTGAAATATTGGTCTCGCAAGAAGAATCAAATCAGCGGTGGGTTAAACAGGCAACATCATGCAAATTACTTGGCACAACACAATGCCATGCTTTCCTTCTGTCAGTCAATATTTGCCACTTAATTCAAATTAGAGGGGGGAGACGTCACAATACCATTGTGTATTTATTGTATTGCAGCGCAGAGTGAATTATAAATGCAATTTGTATTTGGTAGCAACTGCAGACGTGCATCCACAGAGTGTCAACAAGGCAATGAGCCATCAGCCATCTGGGCAGATAATGGCTTTGAATTTGTATGGAAAATGCACTGCAGGCTTCGGGCACTTGACAATAACAACAAGACCAAGTATTTGCTCAGACAAGCCTCACACTGAAGTGTCCAGATTTGTTTTTGTTTAGTTTAAGAATGTTCGTGCTAAATTGGGATATTTGGCTGATTCCGTTAATCGTTGTTTTGGCTTCACGTGGCAGGAATTCAGAGAACCTGAAGAAAATCCGTGCACACCACTCAGCACTGCCATCTATTGGCCACCTTGCAGATCCATGCCTACAACACCTGACATGCCCTGGTGAACACCCATCCGAGTATTCACCAGGCTCATCACAGCTTAGCTTCAGAGATTGGATGGTAATGGGCACATTCGGATTCATTTTACTGCCGGCAATAGAAAATTGCAAAGCGTCCCCGTAACACAGAGGTGGCCCCTAATTGTAGACCTCCCACTGCTTCCCCATCACCCTCACCGATATTTAACAGCCCCTCGAATGTGCACGGCGACATTAGCACATACGCCATGCAGGTGTTGCACGCAGGGCCGTAATGAATTCTCACACTCGGTCTCTCGGTGTTCCCCTTCTGCGCGCAAGGATTACCGGGTCAACATTTTCCTGCGACAGCAGTGGAACGACCCTCGGCTTGCGTACAGCGAGTACCCCGACGACTCCCTGGACCTCGACCCCTCCATGCTTGACTCCATCTGGAAGCCCGATCTGTTTTTTGCCAACGAGAAGGGGGCAAACTTTCACGAGGTCACCACTGACAATAAGCTGCTGCGCATATTTAAGGACGGGAACGTCCTCTACAGCATAAGGCAAGTTTGCCCATTGTAACGACACGGCGGTTTAACGCTCCAAGTGTCAAACACTTACTTATTCACCCACGTAGCTTTTGATTAATTCTAGTTGCTAGGTACAGACGCGCTACTGCGGCCGTCTTGAAACGCTCATCCTTCCGATATTAGGAAGCCACTTGAGATTTGCACTTTTAAATCATCATCTAGATTAAAAACTAATTTCTTTAGAACTGCTTTGTGTGTTTAGTTTGGTGTCCTTCCCCTCCGCACCTCTGATTAGCGCGGTTGGCTACGTACGGTGCAAGATAAGTTCAACATACATGCATACTGAGTTAAAACAGTTGGCTATATATGGTGTGAAAGACGTTCAACATGCATATATAGATACATGTACATTTGTAGGGTGGAGCCGGTGGCACAGTTGTTAGCACACTGCACTACCAAAGTGGTCACCCGAGTTGATTTCAAGTCACGGCTAACATCAGTGTCGAGTGATATCTGAACTGCTACTGCCAGTTCCCCCCTCTCCTTCACCAACCCGCACAGAGGAGTATGATGAAACAAAACACGTGACTGACAAGGCATTGATAAGCCTTCGTTCATTGATGGATTTAAAATATCTGGAATTTATAATTATTATTCTATCACTGTTGTGTTTGGGCATTTGTTTATTTTTTTGTGATAGACACCTGTGATGCCATGCCGAGATGAACGGCCTCCATTTTTAATCAATGTAAATAATTCACTTATAACCAGACAAGAAGATAATTGCTCCTCTGAACGTGACACTAATTGGTGGAATAACGACTACGCACGTTTCCTTTTTCTGGCATCGGAATGAAGGCGATTCCACCATTCGTGCATCTTTCTGCAGAGAAGTCTTAGTGGGGAAGTCTGAAAACTCTTGTGTACTACTTCTCGAAATTTAAGTGTGGATAACAATACGCGTGGCTCGGTGACACATCGCACAAGCCGCTCGCCACGGGGACTGCGATAAATTTAAGTAACTAAACAGCCCCGTGGCGTGCGAGGCAAAGAAGTGACAACATCGCTCCGAGATTTGTGCGAGCGGAGGTGAAATCGTTTAAACAAATGAAGTAAAAAAAAAGATGATGGCAATGACTGAAGTTGATTCCACGCTCTCGACTTGAGCACGAGACGGGTGCGTTTGTGCTGCCGGGCGGCCGTGTCACTCACTATCGTGGCCGCGTCGTTCTTTACACTTCGATCCACCGTTGCAGACTGACGCTAACGCTGTCTTGCCCGATGGACCTGAAGAATTTTCCAATGGACGTCCAAACGTGCGCCATGCAGCTGGAAAGCTGTAAGCATCGCGGTGACAAAGCAAGCGAAACAAACAACAACCAAAACAACAACCATAACAAACCATAACAAACCATAACAACAACCATAACAAATCATAATAAGAGACATAACAACAACCATAACCACAACAATAACAACAACCATGACAAACCATAACAACAAACATAACAACAACCATAACAACAACAATAAAAACAACCATGACAAACCATAACAACAACAATAACAACAACAATAACAACAACCATAACAACAACCATAACAATCATAACTACAAACATAACAACAACAATAACAACAAACATAACAACAATAACAACAACCATAACAACAAACATAACAACAAACATAACAACCATAACTACAAACATAACAACAAACATAACTCTAGATTTGATTATTTAATTGAGTTTTCATTTTAAATTAATTTTTTACCTACACGACTTTACCGAAAAAACCAAAGAGTCACAACCATAACAACAACCATAACAACAACTATAACAACAAACATAACAACAACCATAACAACAACCATAACAACAAACAAAACAATAAACACCGCAGCTTCCCTCCCCCACCCCTGCACAATTTTCGGCAGAGCAAGCGACGGCTGAGGTTTGTAATGTTTTCGGTATGCCATGTGTGTTGCATGTCAAATCTGTATTCTGCCCGTGTTCACCCCCACAGTTGGGTACACAATGAATGACCTCATTTTTGAGTGGAAGCAAGAGGGGGCAGTGCAGGTCGCTGAGGGGTTGACGCTTCCCCAGTTCCAGCTGAAAGACGAAAAAGATCTCGTGTACTGCACAAAGCACTACAACACAGGTATCCGCCTCTTGCTCTCGCTCTGTAACTGTTTTGTTTGTTTGTCTGCATCAGCGAAGCGTTCGATGGATCGGGTGGGATTTCAGCCTTAACACGGTGGTTCTTCGTAACCTGGGGAAGCGAGATGCCCTTTCTGGGGGTGCGAGACGTGGCCAGATTTTTTTCAGAAGGCAAATAATCGATAACACAGCGAAACACGGGCACGTAAGTACAACTACTTATATTTCTAGATTTGAATTCTAGATTTTAAGCTTTCGTGGATAATTAGATTTTTACCCTTCTATCTGGCAACAAAACTGACACATTTTTTACAAGGAGTCATGTTTGCATAGACCACAATACCTGCAGTCGTAATGCAAACAAAAACATAACTCTGAAAATGTATGCACTGTCCTTGAAGTTGATTAATCCACACCCGAGACAGCTTTCTTTAGAGCCTAGTCTCACATGGTGTTGGACCAGATGACGCCAAAAGGCGCACAGCTCAAAGACAATGCACCATCAGAGTATGAGAGCTCGGGGTAAGCATTTACACCATTGGAACCTCATTTTCCAGTAGCAAAATATGATAATTGGTTTTTGACCCTTTTATCTGGCAACAAAACTGACATCGTGGCTTGCAAGGATCCATACTCTTTGTGTTTTTTTCCGGTAAAGTCACGTGGGTGAAAAAGGGCAACAAATAAATGTAATCACGACGTTTCGGAGGCAACACAAGCCTCCGTCTTCAGTTGGAACCGTCACAGCTGAAATTACTGTAACAGGTGAAGAGAGTTCCAAGAGACACGGCCTTAAACACTGGTTCAGGGAGAGGGGGGAGGAGCCAGGATGGGCCGTGGGAGGGGGGTCCTGAGGTGGAGAGGTAACGACCAGCGTTGCAGCCTCGGCTTGAGCTGCAGCCGAGGCATTGCGATATAGATGGCCTAAGTAGATATATATGAACATTATAAACAATTTCGATTTAAACGTCGTGATAACTTAATTGTTTTATTTTTATTATTTCCCTTCTACGTGACTTTACGGAAAGAACCAAGAATATTATGAACAATTTTTAGATTGAGAACCAAAGGGGTGAAGGCTGCAGAAAATGGTTAATCACCGCTGCTGTGACACAATCTGTGTGTTAGTGGCCTTCTCATTGGCTGAACTTGATTATCATGTCCCAAGAAAGCTTTGATTTTTTTATGCTTTCCAACTCAGAGTGTGTGTATGTGCGTATGTCGGATATCTTTCGCACCGTACGCAGCCCACCATGCCAATCGGAATGGGCCGATGCTTGAGTTATGTCCGTCTGTCTGTAAGAGGGCATCACGACTATCGTGAAGATGATCCGACATGTAAATATGTGGCGCAGCTCGGGACTTCTTGGACACTGCTACTGTTATCAGGGCAAACGCACGCTAGAAAGCGTTGCAGAATCGATGCATGAGCATGATTTTTCTTCCTTGTTTTTACGTGCACACGACCATTGACGTCACGTTCAGCTGGGCGGTTTTTGGTTTGTTTTGTGCTTCCTCAAGAGTCAGAATGAGCGACTGAGTTGAATGTCCATTGTAATCCTTGAGACGTCTGTAAAAATTGCTTCTGATGTAACTGCATGCGTAGAGTGCCGAGTGTCGTGCTATTTATTTCGCGTGTGATCCATTGAAGCAGCTTAGTTGAAATTCCACCGCTGTTATGATAATAATAATCTTTCTTTGGGACTGTAATCAATTATGTTTTTTTTTATATATCAAAGAGTCTGTGACATCGGGTAATAGAGTAGAACCATCGCTGGGTCTTTATAATTTCCTCAAATTTGTACATTTGAAAAACACGGCCAGAACTAAATTGATCGAATACATTAACAAACATTCTCCGTGTGTGCGTGCGTGTCCTGATGTCACGTGCACTCACAACTGCGGCCCTGCACTGCGTTAGGCAGAACTCACCTTCCGAACTGCTGCTCGCAAATTAATAGCCATTGTTGTTATAAGCATAGGGGCCGTCCATAAATGACGTCACGCTACTTTGGACGATTTTTGACCCCCCCCCCTCATCACACGGCGTCACAAAAAATCAGACCCCCCCCACCCTTAAATATGACGTCACAAAACTCTGCTGCCCTCCCCCCCCCAAAAAAAAAATAAAACATGCTTCAAATCGCTTTAAACTATTGTCATTGTAGTGCGTATTTAATGTGGCGCTGCACTCTGATGTTGTAGGAGAAAACATTTATCAAAACGTGCATTTAATTATTTAATTATAACGTATTGTCTATATTTATTTAAAGTTGCGCATTTGGTTGTGACGTCACATTTCTCAACCCCCCCCCCCTCGTCACACATCGTCACAAATGTCTGACCCCCCCTAAGTGCGTGACGTCATTTATGGACGGCCCCCTATAACCAAATCACCCAGATTGTGCCCGATTGTCGTAAATGTTTGGATGAGCGACCGCCATGCATAACAGCTGCTATCGACTGCTGCAAGAACAGCAGCGAGATCAATTGTTGTACTCTACTTATATACCCCCCCCCCACGCACACGTATATACTTCATGACTCGAGTTGGCAAAGGATGGCCCAATAACACCCACAACACGCACTGCGTGGGAAGGCCGACATCCAGCGAGCGCATTGACAAGAAGGTCGCAACATGCACGCGTTGCTTCTCAACTCAATTTGAGCAATTGTAGACCCATTGAAAAATGATACTGGTAGGAACCACCTGGTTCCACAAGAGATTATTGTGTCCGTCCGTCGTGCATCCAAAAATGGGAGGGGTGGGGCTGGGTGGGGAGGGTGGGGAGGGGCTGGGTGGGGAGGGTGGGGAGGGGCTGGGTGGGGAGGGTGGGGCTGGGTGGGGGGTGGTTGGGGTGGGGCTGGGTGGGGAGGGAGGGGCTTGGTGGGGAGGGGAGGGTGGGGAGGGGCTGAGTGGGGAGGGTGGGGAGGGGCTGGGTGGGGGGTGGGAGGGGTGGGGCTGGGTGGGGAGGGGCTACTCACCCCGTGGTGCCCTTATAAAAATCAACGTTTAACCTACTCACGCCGGCTTGTGCCCGCCCTCGCAGTCGGGCACATTTGCGGAATACACCACGCCGCCGTTGACCCTGGCCATTGACCGAGCAACCAAACGTTCCTACCAGCTCCCTCCGCAGGAATGTGTTAATCACGATTACAATATATCTCTCCTGTGCAAGGTATTCCAGGGACAAATGCAAGGATAATGACGGGTGTAAGGGCAAAACAATGTCGTGCGCGTGATCAGATGATGCGAGGCACATACTTAGATATTTATACGGATGGCCATATCTCGTTCGTCGCTGTGTGCTGTTCCAGGGGGCGGGGGGGGTGGCGGGGTTTGTAACGTGACCTATTCCAAAAAATGAAGACGTGCGTTCACAACGCATTAAGATGCGTGCAATAATCTAACAATGTTGGTGGTGCCTTTACAAAGGGCACGGAGCAACGGAGGTTATTTTTTTGAATTAATATTTATTAAATTCAGATTTTTTTTTTTTTACGTACCATTCACATTCCGAGGGTGCGTTGCCCAATATGAAAAATGCCAATAGACTTTAGCATGAGCATTGCATTTATAATTGAATAGCTTTTGAGCCATTCCATATATATATGTGCGTGGAAACTATGAAGCCGATGAAAAATACATTTATGTCATTAAAGCATTTGACAGTTTTATTATCATCATTTATTTTTCCCACAAAAACATAATAAAATATAGATATGCAGTGATATTGTCAGAGTAAATGGAGAATTAGTATTGTCTTGTATTTTAATCAGCCTTGAGTAGACCTCTCCTGACTCACCTGGTAAACTGTACAGAATCTAATTAAAACCACTCTCGTTAGAACACCATGCATTGTTCAAACACGTAACAGTTGGCATTAACAGTGTAATCTTGAATATTAATCTGATACGAATTAGCGTACGTGTACTTTCCTTCGTCACGGGAGATATTTATTAAAGCCAATTTTGTGAATGTATCATCGTAAAAAAATGTATGGATTAACCTGAGTTACGTTAGAAAAAAAGTCACGATTCTATTTCAACAAAAACATATTTCTTTGCTTTTTCGAGTCTAATTATTTTTTAACGAGGTATGAGGCTCAAGCCATTTGTTGCTAATTAAATTGAGGTGACGCGGTTGGCTACGTACGTCGCAAAATAAGTTCAACATACATAACATGCCAAATATCGACTATTTAGCCTCACAATGCGTAATGGTGAACCCTCAACACTGCTAACATTTAATACGATCTCAGCGCGCAGTCAACTCTCAATACTTCGGGGTAATTGGCGGGTGGGAGGGTTGGGCACCAGAAACAACAACAACAACAACACCACGGACAATTACAAAACCTAGGAAAATTTGGCAACGAAAAACGGTCCATCTCGTCTACCCACACGGAACGGATGGTGACGAGAGAACATCCACGTGCCCGTTGTTTCTCGATGTAAAGTTGTGACGTCACGGACCCTCGACAAGTGAGGAGCAGCTTTTAAACGGCACAAAGTTAATCCGCAAATCGGATAACCCGTAACAAATAGAGCTTCAAATTCTAATCTTAATTGCCACCCGCGCTAAGTAGTTAGACTTATCGCTCGCAGCGGTTGAACGAACGGAACCTCCCCTCTCCCCTCCGCCCCACTCTGCTCGCCACCAGGCAAGTTCACCTGCATCGAGGTGAAGTTTCACCTGGAGCGACAAATGGGCTACTACCTCATCCAGATGTACATCCCCAGCCTGCTGATCGTCATCCTCTCCTGGGTCTCCTTCTGGATCAACATGGACGCGGCGCCGGCGCGCGTGGCGCTGGGCATCACCACCGTTCTCACCATGACGACGCAGAGCTCGGGCTCCCGCGCCTCCCTGCCTAAAGTGAGAACGAGGGCCCGTCGCCCGAAACGTCGCCTATTATATCCATTTACTTGTTGTTCCCTCTAGAGGGAAGTGCTTAAGGCGACGGATGCCGCCGCGTGTTTTGCTCGACGCGCTTGCCACCGCCGTGCGCGCAGCTGCACGAGCTTTGGCTCGGTGACGAAGGCACCTCCCTTCGGGGAAACTCGGCCTGAAATAATAACGCGGTCGATTTTAATAACGGAGAGAGGAACTCAAAATTGCCGGGTGTCTGTGATTGCTGCCAACGTTATTGCTGGTGTGTGCTGTACCAGCTTTACCAACTTGCTGTTCGGTAACAGCACTCGTCTCAGCAGCCTGCACGGAAGAAGAAAGAAAACCCCTGTGATCCTTGTTTTTGTGTTGTTGCATCTCCTCTGTGTGCGTTTGTGTACGTGTCAAGGTGCTTTCGTGATTTGATAATGCACTAGCATCCATCAATCGGATTTCATTCCGAGTTGTAAAATACCGGTGGCGTGCAATGTCCACAGTAAACTTGTTGAGCAGAGAATCATGCTTGGGTTGACAACGAGAGACAAGGCGAAGAGAGTGGATGGATTAAAGATCATATGCAGGTTAGATACATCACGTTGGGTAGGACATAGCACGAAAAGGGATCTTGGCTGGTGGCCGAAACGATGGACAGTGGCAGCCATAGGAGGAGACAAATCTGAGAGTACCGGTCACCGTGGCGATGGAGTGATGAACTCAGCTCCTGTGCAGGTACTAGACGGATCGATTTTTGATTTGCAAAACCATGATATGGCAATGGCTTTTGGACGCCTTCATCCATGGCTGATAGGCTTGTGAAGTCTCTCCACTTACGCAAATACTGTAATCAATTAACAACATTGTGGGGAATAGAAATAACATAAATAAGCAATGTCTCCCACACATGTCCAATACCACATTGAAATATTTCTAACATCAGTCGCACAGCCTTCTGGGAGGGCATGGTATCAGGAGCATTGGCCTCAAGACAAGTTAACTCTGAAGCAGTTTCTTCACCAACTAGAATCTTACCGAGAGCAACAGACTTGCCTGAAGCAATTCTGGTGAACTGTCGGTCTCGTATCCAAGTAGCCTTTTGCTATGATATGGGTGACAGTTCGACACTTCCAGAAGACCGTCTGGCTGATGGGTTGTTTAAGAAATGTATATTGTTTATGCCAATGGACATGTGAAGAAGAAATTGCGTCCTTATTTTGTTTACGTATAAATACATACACAACATTAGATATTTTCCTCAACGGTGCTAATGAGTGTTTTGAACTTGGACTCTGTTGTAAACAAATGGTCCTTGCTTATAACATTGGAAGTTCATCAGGATTTGTTTAAGCAACGCTGGCTGATCAGGCACTGCCAACGTCTGCTTGTCTCAGTAATTATCAGCTACAATTGGATTAGCTCGGTCTTAGAACAAGTAGCTTGGTTGGCGAGACAGGCAGCTGGCCCATAATTGCTGTTGGCTATCACCGCCCCGACTACCTATTGTGTGCGGGGTGAATAGGCCATCAGCTACCACCGCGTGCCTCTCTGTGGCCTCGCCAAACCGACGAAGGAAGATGTTTATTTTTTATTTCTGGCTTAAAATTTAAAAAAATTAACCCGTAAAAACAAAGTTTTTCACTATAAATCCTTTATATGCGTGGCATCGGTTTTATTTTATTATTCATTTCTGTTTTTCTTGAGTAAGAGTTTCATTTTTATCACATTGATATTTTAAATAAAATATGAATTTTTTTTTCCTAAAAAGTGGAAAATTTAGGAAAAAAATTTTTCACGAAAATAAATTGTCACGCACAACGAGTCTGTGTGCAAAATGTCAGCTCGATTGGATCACGGGAAGTGGGTTAAAAAACGACCGAAAGATTTGCACGGTCGTAAGCAAGCAAGCAAGCAAGTAAACTTAATATAAAGGATTTAAAAATATGTCCTCCGATGAGAGAAACCAATGCAATTGTACTCGTGTCGGTGATAGTTCGCGAGAGATCGGGATGGCACTCATCCAACAGTGGATCGATCATGGCTGATGATGATTCATTGACATTTTAAACAATGAGGTGACAAATTACGTGGTGATGCTGCGTTGGCAGTGTTGCATAAGCACAACTAACAAAAAAAACTATGACCAAACACTGTTAATACTCTTAGTTACTAAATTTTTGTGGTAATTGAACGATTTGTCTGATACTTAAACGCTACCATTCGGTAACTTTCCATATGCCTATTTATATACTGGTCACCAGAAAACATTTTTTTAATGTAATTCTCACCAGGCCACCAAATTATTCTGTCAAAATCGCCTGACCATGCTGGATGTAATTACCAGCGAAACGTCGTACAACTCAATTTGTAAATGTCGTGGATTTACTCTCCAACACACCGGTGGGCTGAAGTAGTAACTAAATGGCGCGTTGTTTATGTGACAAACCTTACTGGCTGTGCCGGGTGGTGGAGGGTGACGACACATTTATACTTACGCGATCTAGCCCAAAAACCTTAATTATTAATAATATCGGTCGCGAAAGCCGACGTATTAAACGTATTATCATCCACTCTATTTCTCTGCCCTCTGTGTGTGTGCTATGAGGAAGGGCCGTTGCCTGAAACGTCGCCGATCAAATAGATGTTTTTTCTTGAAATGCGAGTGTTGTTGACGAGTGTTTTATTGTTGTCAACGAATTGACGTGTACTTCGAGTAGCGTGACAAGACCGCACTGTAGGGGAGTACATTAAAATACCGAATTAGATTTTCTCAAGCACCGACTTTTCTCGTGTTTTGAACACTGTGTATCTAAGAGTAAGGCAGAGAAGTCTTTTATGCAACTATGTGCGGATTTAGTTGGGCTCCTATGAATATTCCCGTATGAATGTGAGAGTAACTTAGTGGCCCTAAAACCCATAATCAAACGCAAATTGTGCCCCAATCGCAGACGTAGATTCAATCCCACTCAGGCGCTGAAGCTCCTCTGTAAAACTCTGCATCAGATTGCAAATTGTAATGGCGTGGAAGAAAATAAACGACAGGGTTTGGTTAAGGTGTGTGAAGTTCTGCAGCAATTTTGCTTTTGATTGCAAGTTGCTGTATTCCTCAGATGATATGATGCACCTATTTCCACCGTTTTAAAGCAACAGTTCGGCACGTGTCTTACAATCCGCGACCAGATGTGCGTAATTGTATTGACACTGGGCACACGTGTGTCGTTGGGGTGCGCGTTAAATCCTGCAGCATCTTGTAATCTGCAAACTATGAAAGTTTACGCACCTTCTTGGTTCTTTCGGTAAAGTCACGTAGAAGGGAAGTAATAAAATAATAAAAATAAAACATAATAAAATAAAATAATTCTCACGACGTTTCGGCTACAACGCAAGCAGCCATCTTCAGGTGAAGAATGAGACACTACCAAGCTAGGAGCTTATATATACGCTGCGTTGGAGGTGCAAGAGCGCCTTAACAAAAATAATGTGCATATGAAGGGGAATTTAGCATATTCATGGGAAATGCGTAGGAGGTGGGTGCTAAATTCCTCTTCATATGCACATTCTTTTTGTTAAGGCGCTCTTGCACCTCCAACGCAGCGTATATATAAGCTCCTAGCTTGGTAGTGTCTCATTCTTCACCTGAAGACGGCTGCTTGCGTTGTAGCCGAAACGTCGTGAGAATTATTTTATTTTATTATGTTTTATTTTTATTATTTTATTACTTCCCTTCTACGTGACTTTACCGAAAGAACCAAGAAGATGGATCCCTGCAGTCACGAAAGCTTTAAATCGAAAGTTTACGCACCGCGTAAGTCTCAGCCTGTAGCTCCATTGTGCCCTGTGGCACCGATCGCAGGCCCCCATATTGGAGGACCTCCAATTACAATGAATCGATGTCAGAATTGCATACACACACACAGCGACAACTGCAATTTCACATTCAGGTGGGCAAGCCGGATGACCGTGTGTCCGGAGCAGCGGAGTGTATCGCTGTGATGTCTCCTTCGTATTCGTGGATCGGGCATTGCGTAACATATGCTGTACGCTCGGTCGTGGATGACCGCAGTTGCACAACGGAGGGAGAGAGGTTTTTTTTAAAATTTCTCCTTTTGTGCATCAGGTATCCGCGCCCGCCCCGGTTACGCACGCACGCGGTTAGGCTCATAGCGCTGCCCGCTAACAGCCGCGCGCCACCGCGACCGATACCGCCGCGACAAATGACAACGCCCCGCTCGACGATGGGCCCCCTCGCGCCTCTTCCTCTGCAGGTCTCCTACGTGAAGGCCATTGACATCTGGATGGCCGTGTGCCTCCTCTTCGTGTTTGCCGCTCTGCTCGAGTACGCCGCCGTCAATTTCGTGTCGCGCCAGCACAAGGAGCTGCTTCGCATCCGCCGCCGCCGGCAGAGGAATCAGGTGGGTGGAGAAAAGAAAAAAATAAATCGACAAACGCCGCGATCCCGATCAGCGGCATCAGGCAGCGTGGTTGCTGCTGTCCATTTGCAGGCGTTTGTGGGGGCGGTGGAGCTAAGAGGGCTCCCCGGGTCGCCCCCCCCACACCCCCGCGTGATACCTTATCCTCTTGGCTGTGACTCTCATCCGCAGTGATTTGTGAGCAGAGGGGAGTGGGGTTGTGTGTCTGACACGGGGGAGCGGAATAACGTGACGGTCGGCGGTGTGTGTGTGGACACTGCTCTCTCCCTTTCTCTATGGATATTTGGAAACACAACACCACATTCATGTTGTCACTGATGACCTCCTCAGTCATCTTCATGCGTATCAGTGCCAGTCATGCTTGACTCACTACTTCTAGATTTGAAGCTTTCGTGACTGCAAGGATTCATATTCTTAGGTTTTTTCGGTAAAGTCACGTAGGTAAAACATTAAAATTAATAAAAGTAAAATAAAATAAAAATCACGACGTCTCGGAGGCAACACGGTTCCACCTGAAGACGGAAGCTTGTGTTGCCTCCGAAACGTCGTGATTTTTATTTTATTTTACTTTTATAAATTTTAATGTTTTACCTACCTGGTGACTTTACCGAAAAAACCTAAGAATTTGACTCACTACGTTTGATTCTAAGATGCTGTGTTTAAATACGCCACCCCGTTACCTCATCACGTGGGACATTTGTAAATGATTACGATAATTATTACGTTTATTATTTTCTAAGATTGACCTAACCTCATTTAAAATGGTAATTATTTGGATAATTATCAGCTGTTTTTCCTGCTTATTTTAAAACACCCGATAGAACACAGCAGTTTTTCGGCGATCAAAAGAATTCATTGCCATCACGGAAGAAAATACAATTGTAACATTTGAACGCGTTCACTTGTCATCGGGCTCATTCTTGCTTTACATAAGCAAAAGAAAATTGTGCTGAGCACAATTCCAAAAAGGTTCGCAAAGAGCCCTAGCCACCCTCCGTCTGCTCCCAGTGTAAGGTGATGCGATTTCGCGAACGACTGTTGTCTGTGCTGTCTCTGCGCGTGCGTCCGTGCGTGCGTCCTGTGCGTGTTTGTGTGTGTGTCCTGTGCGTGTTTGTGTGTGTGTCCTGTGTCCTGTGTGTGTTTGTGTGTGTGTCCTGTGCGTGTTTGTGTGTGTCCTGTGCGTGTTTGTGTGTGTGTGTCCTGTGTGTTTGTGTGTGTGTCCTGTGTGTGTTTGTGTGTGTGTGTCTCCTGTGCGTGTTTGTGTGTGTGTCCTGTGCGTGTTTGTGTGTGTGTCCTGTGCGTGTTTGTGTGTCCTGTGTGTGTGCATCCTGTGCGTGTTTGTGTGTGTGCCTCCTGCGCGGGGAGCGGGTTTGTGCGCCGGTTCGATATCCGCTCACGGTCAACACGAGTGACGAATATTTGAACTGGTCGTGGGCCTCCCCTGGGTCGACTCAGCCTTAGACGGGAGTATATGGTGCAATATGTACACATCAGGGCTGGGAAGACAAAGGTGGCCGAGCGTGGTGCTGGCCACCCACCCCCTCGTGCGCCTTGCCGGCCTTCATAGGTGCTCGCTAACAGCAGTTGCCCCAACAGTCTGTTAAGGCTCAACGGGGTGGGGATCGTTGTCTTTGTGACGTTTCTGTGCGCGCGCGCGCGCGCGTGTGTGTGTGTGTGTGCTTGCCATCTCTTTAACATTCATGCCCTCTCCTCCCCGCCCCGACATGCCACGCACACAACGGACTCCCGCAACGACCGGCCGGGTGGCCAATCAGCCCGAGCAGGGAATGCTTGTTCAGAATGAGGGCTTAGAAGCCGTCCGTCGAGTCAACGGCTTAAGGAGAAGCGATCCCTCTTATGGGACTTCGGTTCAAATCTACCAGTCGGGCACACGGGTGAAAAAGGTGCCTTCCGACCTTGATTTTTTTTCTCTCTCTCGCGCGGTTTAATTGGTTATACGTGGACGGATGAATAGTGGCGTTTCAAAAACGCCCCCCTGTTTGTTTAAACTGTTGCCCGTTTCATTACTGCAAAGGTCACGTGGGTTCCCTGTGCAAGAATGAAACTATCTTTTCTGTCCCTGTTTTTTTTTTTGTTGTGAATGTTTACCCCAACAACACGTCTGCTCTTTTTGTTGAAATTATCCCGCGATGTATCTGGGCGCTGGTGCAGCGGTTAGCAAGCGGCTGTATCAACCTCGTGACCCCTGAATGTATTTCCTGGCCATGGCTAACATCAGTGGCGAGCGACATCTAAAATACCACTTCATCAATTTCAAATGACCATCATGGTGAAGCATGGTCAAACAACCCCCATGATCGACACAACATGGGGGAGGCTTTCATCCAGCAGTGGATTGACAAAGGGCTGCGATTTGAAATTTTATTAATTTGCAACGTATTTACATATTTACAAATCGCAATGTCCCCATACTCAACATGTTGGGTGGTGCTCATCTCTGTTTAGTCGTCCTGAGCCTTTGGTGGAAAATCCACATTTCCCATGGCAGAGAATGGTCTATCTCTTAGAGAATGGTACACGATGTGTCCAGCGTCAAAGGATTGACGGGATGAGCCGATCCCCAACAGCGAGTTGAACCTACGTCGTTCTAGTTGCGAGTCGGGCGCTCTGCCACAGAACAATTTGCTGGAAAGCCGTTAACCTGACGCCTGCATGCGATGCCGTGACACAGATGTCCGTATTTACCCCCTGTTTCCTTACCGCTACTACATATCCTCCTCCTCCTGCACAACTGAACCTTGTCAGCGTCCCGTTGACCCAGGCAGTCATTCGCGTTGCGGTGGCCCACGTCACGCCTCTTCGCCGAACGCCTCTTGGCAAACGCCGGACACAGAATGCTCTTCCCTCCGCATTTATCCCCCGTTGGCTCGCGCGGTGTGTGGCGTTCCCCGCACCGCCCCTGAGCCGTGCGAATGCGCCACACCGACTCGCTGTGTGCATGCGACGCGGGCGGGATATTCTGCAGGGAGTGGGGGGGGGGTGCCCTGTGTGTGCATGTGGCGGGCACAATGGAAGGAGTGTAATTGAGACTGCCTCTAACTTGGGACTTAATTGTTTACGATTAGTCTCGCGTTTAATGTGAAAATGTTGTTACGTAGAAGGCACGAGTTGTGGCTGATGATGATGATGATGATTTATATTGTCAATTCGCAAGACCCTTTTGTTTTCACACATTGTCTTCTGCCACTCTCTGCCAGGCCTGATACGTACCTCGTACGTGGTCTGGCCTCAGTGTTTAACAGCGGTAACAACGGCTGAGTAATAACACATCATCGAGTGTTATATCTCTAATGAAATTCACTGTCATGCATTGTTCAAGAGACTTGCACCATTGTACATTTCTCTGAGTTGCGATCAGCTGACAGATGCAAAGAGGGTCTTTGATTTAAGCAATTAACTCAAAACTGCTTGAAAATATTGCAATGATGAATTTATTTACACGGTTTTTTTTATTGCATCTGGAATTATATGGACACATTTCTCTCCCGTAGAGTGTTTGTCCTTAAACCTCAAGCTTGAGCCGCCGAATTCGATAAGATCTAAACAAAGAAAGTTGTGTCTAGATTACACTCGCTTTTAATAATGAAACACGTGGGTCGACTGCTTCGCCCGGGAGAAACGCTTTCATGTTGTAAGAAAGTGAAAGGCAATCAAAGGGCTTTAAGTTAATTTAAAAGTCACACCCGCCGACCAAACGTTAGGATTAGTTTAAGCCCCAAGCAAACAATGTCATATGCGGTAAGTGTCCGTGCATTTAATTTTAATATTCTCCTCTCTGGGAATATTCACGGTCCTCTTGTGCAAACAACACGTGCTCCAAATGTGATGGTAAGGAACGAACGTGCGGGCAAACGCTTTGGCTTTCACGCTACTGCTGGATCAGAACGGCCTCATAATTGAAACAAAAAGCGGTACGGCAGCGTCAATGTTTTCGAGCGACAATTAACCTGCAAAACGTTTTCATTCCCAGGACGAGGATGGCCGCGAGAGGGGCTTCAATATGTATGGCATGGGGCAGTGTCTGCAAGCCAAAGACAGCGTGTCAGTGAAGGGGGTGAACGCAACCAACGCGGCCCCTGCACCGGCACCCACTCAAGATGCCATCAAGAAGAAGTTTGTGGACCGTGCGAAGCGCATAGACACCATCTCGCGTGCCGCCTTCCCCCTCGCCTTCCTCATCTTCAACATCTTCTACTGGATCATCTACAAGGTCCTCCGTCACGAGGATATCCACAAACGGTAGAGCCGGTGAACCCCAGTGTGCAATTGCCAAACGAACAAAAAACAACAAGTATTAACTCCAACTCCCCCCCCTCTCTCTCCCTCACAAGAACATCCCGCGCAAAGCTTCAGACCAGGACCCAAGATTTGCTCGCTGGCCCTGCAAGCATCCTGCACTCCAGATTGACGTTTGGCAGAAAATGTTCACATGTGTCCTTCAAAGTCCCGACCAACAACAAACGCACCCTAGAAAATACAGAGATGATGCTGATTTTGAGAGAGAGAAAAAAAAACCACCCGGCCAACTGTCATACTTTCTTACAAGAATCAGACTAAAAGACTGTTCTATTTAAATTGATAGTTTTAATTGCAACAAAAGTGGCTTCCAGTACCAGTGTATACGTGTCTGCTGCTGTTTTTTGAGTATCCTATACAGCTTTTTAATCTTGTGAATGTCGAAGCAGTGATTTTTCAGAAATATTTCCAACATTCCAATTCCAGTTATTTGTGAGAAATAACACACATACAATGAACGGTAGCGGTGGGAAAACAATCAACGTCAAAGTACAAAATGCTGAAAACCTTCATTCCAGCAACGAGATTACTGCAATAGTAACACTTTTGATTACTGTGCTAAAAGGTAGGGGTTTCGTAATCACATTTATAGTTCTATAGTACGGTCAGTTAAACGATGATGACAATGATGAAACAGTATTATTACGGACGCATTACTGTGCAGAAAAGTTAAGGGTACCGTTACAGATTTGAAGCTTTCGTGACTGCAAGGATTCATACTCTTTTCTTTTTTCGGAAAAGTCACGTAGGTAAAAAATTTAATAAAATCAATGAAAACAACTGAATTAAATCACGACGTTTCGGAGGCAACACAAGCTTCCGTCTTCAGGTGGAACCGTTACAACCAAAACCACGGTATTAAGTGTATTATAGTGATTTTCTGTATTACAGTGATTTTGGTTGTAACGGTTCCACCTGAAGATGGAAGCTTGTGTTGCCTCCGAAACGTCGTGATTTAATTTAGTTGTTTTCATTTATTTTATTTTTAACCTACGTGACTTTACCGAAAAAACCAAAGAGTAGGTACCGTTACAGTTCTGGGGGTGGGGGGGTCCCTACCGCGGACAGCAGAGAAATAGCACTAAAATCCAAGGGACAACTCGGTCCACGATGGTAGACACGGGCCAGGGATTACGATTGCGGTGGTGGGCCACATTTACAGCTCCCATTCGTTGTCGCACGATGGGTGGCTTGGCTTGAAGCATGCGGCCGGACCGTGAAGTTACCAACGGTCACGCCAGGATCCCGGCGATGGTAACAGAGGCTGTGACGGCGCGCTGTTGGTAATGCGTCTGATGCTATCTGAACAAAATCCCAGCAGCGTTGACCTCTCCACCAGTGAATGAAATGAGCCTAGGGCCAGGCAACGGCTATATGGTGATCTGTTACACAAGCCATTTTGAATGCAAAAAAAAAATACCCACGCTACAATAAAATCAATTTATATAGCATGGTGTGTTTAAAGGCAACATTTTCAAAGGTTGAAAACTAAACAAAGGTTCTAAATGACACTTTTGTTATTCATATGCGATGTTTTGAACCTCCATTTTTCCCAAGTTCAACCTTTGAAAATGTGGTCTTGAATTCCTTTTTTCCAGCTATTTCAATGGTATAACCTTTTCTCCCTGTGCTGGTGTAGATATATGCCCCGTGTTTTGGGTAGTGTCCATTTTTATACACGCTTCACTTTTCTAGAATCAGCCGTAGCAAGTCAGTCAGTCAGTCATCTCCATGTAACTTTGAACGCCAAACACGTACAGTACTTCAAACGGTGTTCCGATCCTGTACAGATTCGTGATTCCGCGCGGTGTGATAGATGGAAAAGTTACGGTATCCTGCATTATTTTCCCGTCGTCTTTTTTCCCCCAAAGTCCAGCACTGGGTTGTGCAATGCGTTTACAGAACAGGAACACAACGGATGTTCCGGCGACCGGCTCGGCATCGCGATATCCGTGCGGTGGTCACAGCTTCATCAATCTCGAGCCCAGAAACTTCAGCGCTCGAACAGCAGCCTGGGAGTTTGCCGACCCTCTAGTATTTAAAGTGCCAACCCCCCTCCCTCCCCGAGAGCGATTTCAGCGAAGTCCACCGAGAACACTTTTACATGAGCCGCCACAGTGTATAGAAAACATCGATTGTACCATCGTAAAGTTTCATTTTAAATGTGAATGACGAAAAGCTTCGGTAGTTGCCCCCCAACCCGTACGCCGTGGCCACCGCAAGATAACCGAGTGGTCATTCGTTCATTTCAAGGTTTCCAATGTGACGAAGAAAACGATACGAAACCTCTCAAAATTGTAGTTTTCTTTGGCAGAGTCGATCAGCCAATAAAAGAAAACGAATTGGTGACCATTAAGACAACGTTCTCAAAGATGAAGCACAATTCGACGGAGTTTTTGTTTGTGCAACTTAAAGTTAGAATCAACGAAACTGGAACGGTCAGTTGTTTAAGAATAAAGCGTTATTTTTAATTATGTTTAACTTTCGAGCCCTGCAACTCGATAAAATTTATGATATTAACAATTACAGGTATGTGGTGATGAGGGGAGCGGGGACAATGGATTATTTCTTGTACATATGGCTACGTGGAAAATGTCAATGTTGGTAAATATTTTAATATAAGTACATTACGTGGGCCACGGATTCCTGACCTGGAGGTCGCGACCTTAAAAATGAGGTCACGGGAGATCACGAGGGGCAGGGGGGGACTCAAGATTGCGCGCAGAATAAACTGGGAAGGGAATTGAAATGAGTAATTCGATTTCACGTTGATATGGAAAATGTAAGTGGTGGCTGGGTGACTCAGAGGGATAATGCGGCATACTGGGCCAGCTCCAGTGCGACTTGGGGTCCGGTCCCAAGGGAAGACTCATAACACCATTATTGCTCCCTCTGTCCGACAGAGATTTTCTTCCCATTCATTGAATGGTGTCAGTCCAGTCTCTGCTGGCCACATGCAAAACAAACAAAAAACCCCAAACGATTATAATGTATTACCGGGTTTTCTTGTTAAGTTGTAATTTTTTTTATAGTAATAGGTTTTTACCCTTTCAACTGGTACAACAACTGACACCTTTGTACAAGGCATCTTTATTATCATTATCATCATCATTAGCATTATCATTATCATCATTAGAGTTGTTTCTTTTTGTTTGCATTTTGACTGCTTGTGTTGTGGTTATTGCAAACATGATGCCTTGTATAAAGGTGTCAGTTTTGTACCAGTTGAAAGGGTAAAAACCTATTACTATATTTTGCCACTGGTAAAGGAGGTCTCATAGTGTATTATTTTTTTACCCAGGTAAGCGCCGATCTTCTACCTTTTGCAATGGAAACATGGGACCTGTCGAGAAGGGGGGGGGGGCATTTGAACTCTGACCTTGCGGCATGAAAAGCAAATGCTAATCCGGAGACAGTACAGCATCACACAAAACCTCCTTAGTCTACGTGAGTTTATATGAGCCCAATGCACAAGACAGTGGAGGAATTTGAATGGAGAAATGTGGCTAAAGTATGAAGCACCTTGACCGAGGGTTGCCACCTCTGTGGTACAAAAAAACAGGATATTAAATAGGAAAACATATCTCATAATGGGCAAATGATAAGTGTTATATTGTTGTTATGCAACTGACGAAACCAGGACTTTTAATGTTCTTGATAGACTTACATATTTCCTATGACTGGCATGCAAACAGGAAGACGATCCTGGAAAACGCTGGGCAGGTGGCAACCCTACCTTGATTGGTAATCGAACTGGGCCACGATGACTTGCGAGTCCAGTGAGCTAAATCATTTACACCACAGTGGCTTCGCGTGCTCTCTAAGCCGAGTGAATAAAAATGGTCTATTGATTCGGCATTAAGCGTCTTGTAATGCCGGTATCGGAGTGAACTGGCAAGCCGCTACTCATTGTAGTGACCTGACCTCCTGTCACCGTGGTGAGTGACACACGCTGTCAACAAATAACAATATGGTCGGGTGAATATACGCATTATTAAGGAAAACATTTGTGGGGGAAATAATTCTTCTTCTTGGTTCTACCGGTAAAGTCACGTAGAAGGGAAGTAATAAAATAATAAAAATAAAACATAATAAAATAATTCTCACGACGTTTCGGCCACAACGCAAGCAGCCGTCCTCAGGTGAAACCAGGTCTGTCGAGGCGACTTTACCGAAAGAACCAAGAAGATGAATCCCTGCAGTCATGAAAGCTTTAAATCGGGGAAATAATTGTCAAGAAATACACTGAGAGCCGAAAGCAACAGTTTTGTTTTACTGGTATCTGTACTCTTTGATGTGGTTTTTTATTTGGTTTGTGCAATTTTTATTTGTTTTTGTTACGTCTTAATCATTCACTTTTTTACACGTACTTTTTTTTGTATATACATTGCTTTGGGATGTCTTGATGTGAAAGACGCTTTAGAATACAGATTACTACCATTATTTTTTCACCTAACTATCAAACAATTGAGCCTTCATTGGGAATTAGGCCCAATCGCGTAAAACATTTTCAAGTATTTATTACACATTCCATCAGCCGAGAGCCGTTCGTTGCCGATAAACATCTGGCAGTTCACCACCATTGGTTGATGCAACCTGACTGTTGAGGAGACACTGAATGTCGACACTGGCTCAGAGTCTGCTTGTGTTGAACCAATTCTGCTGAAACGATAGAATGCTACATTGTGTCTGGTCCAACGGACAAAATGTCATACAGAGATAGAGACAAAGATCACCCGTATAGCCTTTACAAACCGTTGGGGCAAGTGCTGTAAGCGAGCACCTATGAAGGCCGACAAGGCACACGAGAGGGTGGGTGGGCAACACCACGGCCGGCCGCCTTTGTCTCCCCAGTGGCGATGTTTATACACACCGCACCAGGTACTCAATTGAGGCTGAGTCGACCTAGGGGAGTCCCAGGACCGGTTCAGATACTCGTCACTGGTGTTGGCCGTGAGCTGCACTCGGCTTGCCGGGTTCGAAGCACAGCGTGCTAACCGTTACGCCACTGCTCCCCACTTACATACACACACAATTACAGACACATGCTGCAAATGAAAAGGCTATTTACAATTAACATGGCTAATCAACTTTCAAAGAGGACCGTATTAGTCCTGCGTAGGTGTTAACGGTTGTGCTGTACGACTATCCAGTATGTTGTTGGATTTTGCATACTGCGCATTGTTCGGCACGATGTCCGACGTTTTGCTCCACGTGCTGGGAGCTTCTGCAGGAACTGAATTTGGTACGGCCAGAAGAAAAAAAACGCGTTAAAGAGGACTGTACTGTGATACATATAACAACAAAATTACATTTGCTGTATTCATGAAATTGAATTACATGATTTTTTTTGCCGAGACAGAGTGATTGCGAGGGAGAAAAAGGAAAGCAGTTGGTTAAAAATATATATTTATTAAAAATGTAGCAGGCGAAATCTAAAAAAAAATACTTTTAATGGGAAAAAATGGGGGTCGCGCTGGGATCTGCAAAGGCCACACGATAGCATGCATGTAATTTTCATGAATAAACCTGTGTATACTTTGCAGCCTTTAATTCATAGTTGCTTGTGGGGATGCGGAGGAGGAGGAGATACAAAAATCAGGAGTCGAGAGCCAAAACGTAACTTTTTTTTAAAGATGGAAACTCACATGTAGGGTCATTGGCCATAAATGGATACTTTGTCCGAATTTAATTTAACTGTAATGATATGTCATTATGAGTGGAATAATTTAATACATTGGTATATATATCGAAAGATTTTAAATGCACTG